CCTCCCACTTCAGGCCAATTTCTATTAATTTTCTTCAATTTGCTAGCAGTTCACTAAATGTTGAAACATTAGTTCGTCAAATGGGAGACATTTTGGACAGAATTCTCACCATTTTTGCGGCTTTTAACTTATTACAAAAATCTTGAAAGCCTTTAATTTGGACGCATCCTGCCCCCGCCTGCAGAATGAAGATGTATCACACTTCGTTTCCGAAAGAACATGCAAAATTATTAGTTAAATCATCACATGTCTTCTAAATTAACCGTCTATAACAGCGCTTTGTAAGGCAGAGGCCGAGAATTTACGTCGGCGAGGCTCTTAAATAATGGAGGAAATGGTGCGAAATTAACTAATTTAATACAAATTTCAGAGATGCATGTTATTGTTATATGTCTTCATTGCGGTCGTCATTTTTCTCCAATTAACACGTGTAAACCAATACTTCGGGGTGGTGCTCCCGGCACGCGATGCGCAGCGGCTGTATATGAAGATTCCGCTCTTTCCAATCTCGTCAGATGCTCGTACATTATTGACACAGCTCGGAAGTGAATAAAAAAAAAATCTACAAATTAAAATTTATAATGCATAGTTGTGCTTTTTTGTTTGTTCATTGGGTTTGAATATATTTTATTGTACAATTATTTTTTCACAAACGGATTGGAATTAAACAATTGCAAGTTCTTGTTAGTTACAAGTTCCACTTAATTTTTGTGTCTTTCTCCCTCATATTCTGTTCTTCATGATATGACCAAAATGTTGAAGGAGAATAAATAAATAAAGAAAGAAATATTTTCCTTTCCCATATTGATAAAAAGTGAAAACAGTGATATATAAGAGTTTTATTTTTTAAGAATTTTAAAACAATACATGGTATATTGTGTGTGGGTGTGTATATATATATATATATATGAAAGAGAGAGAGAGAGAGAGAGAGAGAGAGAGAGATCACACAAAATTTTAACATTATGATCTGCATAATATTCGGATTATGGGACACCTTACATTTTCATCTCAGATTACTTTAAAAAAGGGGGTGTTAAATATTTGTACATTTCCAACTGATAGCGAGTTTATAGTTATTTTGAAAAAGATAATTTAAAAAAAACACTGCTGTTTTTAGTCCTTTTAAATTATTTAGATTTCTTTCTTTATTTTTTTAACTACTTTTCAACTTTCACGTTTACCCTTCCAATGACAAGCAATGTAATTTCTTAAAATTCTTAATATTTTTTACAATTTTCAAGGCTAGGTAAGGATTGCATTTGACTATTTTTCTAGCCTAGATAGGGTTTATTTTGTGTTAGAAGCCCATGTTCCTGAAATTAATCTTCACAAGGAAGTCTTGTCTATAACAGTAGAAAATAAGGTTACAGAAATAGTATAATCCCGAGAGGACTACTTTTGACTTCATCCACATTGAATACCGTGTGTCAGTTTTGGTATACAAATATCTAAAGTGCAAATATTTTCAAAAATGAGTTTTCGCTATCAAAAATAACTTTTCAAATTCTGTGATTCACAATATCTTGTCACAAGTTTACAGTTGCGGAAACAGACCTGAGTGTCTGCACTTCCGGCTCACACGAAACATTGCTTCCGTTTTGTGTCCTAACTAAATCTGACCATTGTCGAAAATCCAAACGTAATTTATTGCTGACACGTTCAATTTTTCATCCCGATAATTAGTAATAAGAATTTTTCGTTCATTATCAAGGGAGAAATACTCCTGTCACGTAGATGGATAAACGGAAGCTAAATGTTCATTATGAAGGTTAAAATCGGCTCATATGGCTGTGCCGGATTTTTACGCGAGCTTAATCTGTTTTCCTTCAGAAATCAGTTACTCATTTGCCTAAATTAGTCGCAGTGGGTATTAAATATCCTCGAACGCACCTAATACACAAACGAAATCATTTGTTCTATTAATTGGCAAAATATCGACATCAACTGAATTTATCTAATTTTGGTGAAGATTTTACATCGTTTATTATAAGAATTATGGCAAATCAGCGAAGTCCCAGACGACACTCTCCAAGCACGACATCCTTAATTGGCCAAAGAAAAAGCATCGCCTATATGACATGAATAACTTACGCAGAGAAAAATGGCCTTAAGTAATTGCATTACACCGAGAGCTCGTTTCTATCAATAATTATTCTGAAAACGAAGTGTTCACCTGTCTACGGGAAAATCTAGATAATTTTTCCTGGTTGGGGCAAAAGCAAAATCTTTTTTCGAGGATTCCAAAAGTCAATATATAACTGTTAATTGTTTTCCTCTGCGAGCCCTCCTTGTAATTGATACTTTCAAATAAATCAGAGAGAGAGAGAGAGAGAGAGAGAATTCGGTAACTTTTTTTTTCAAGTGGACGTTTGCCATTAATCCGGTAGAACAGATGTTCTCTAAACAAAACATCAAATCAAAAATTCAAATTACGTAAATTATATAGTCTGTGTACACGTTACGTAATGTATTCTTATATTTTTAACATTTTTTTTAAATACGTAAATAAAATTTATATCATATGGATGGCTTTGGAGGTATAGATATTATGCTATTTTTTAAAATTTAATTTGACATGCTTCAAAAATATTGATACTTAAAAGCATGAAAACATTCCTTTATATGGATAACTAATTTATGAACAGTTTTCCTGTGAAATAAAGTGAAACAATATCCCATATGCAGTTTAATAATGCAAAATAACTAGTACGTGGTTTGTTGGTCTTTACAGGCAGTTTGATATTAAGATACTACCATGCGTATGATTGACAAAGAAAACATTGTTCCATTCAAACCAAAGCCATAAACGTGAAAAATACAAATCTAACAAAACTTTTCGAAGACTAAGCTCTGCTAGGCATTTAAATGAAATTTTCGCATTTAACACTTCAAATATTATGGTGTAAACTTTGAGAAATATGGATTGTTTTCCTTAAAAGAACAGCTGTTGATTAGGAAGATCAAGTGAAAAATCAAATTACAATAGAATCGTTTAAACATTTCCGCACTTGACGCTCATTGCTGAAATAATGCACAACGTCGACAGATGTAGTGGAATATTTCCCTCTTTTCCATGATTAGGGATAAATCAAGTTCTTTTCCTATTCCCCGAATTAAAATCTTATTCTGGTATATTTAGCCAAAATAGTTTTGATTGTGCCATAACAAAAGATAGCAGATTGCATGTAACATCCGATGCTTTAGCGAGTGCTCACTTCACATCATTTTTTGCGTAAGTTTGAGATTTTTCTTTTTTATAGCATCAGAATTTAAATTGATGGTTTAACTACTACATTTACATGTTATGGTATTTTTGCAGTGTGATAAATTGACTATACACCTGTCCAAACATATTAGAATAAGATTCGCTTGAACCAAATAGCATAAACTGACATCAAAAAATTATCGTACCATATTGTACGTAGAGATGTATTTTCTTGAAAATAAAAATTTTGCCCCAGGTAAACGAGAATGTTTGTGAATTATTTCAGGCTAAAAATACCTAGTTTCCATCTCTTCTCTCTGTAATTTGAGAAAACTGTCATGTTGTAATTTTTGAATTTACAAGGTGGCAGCAAAAGTTTTCAGGTTAATTTTTTATTTACTGCCACTTGGTATTTAAAAATTACAACTTAACAAAACGCTTTATCTTGAATTGAACTTCAAGACCTGAGCTAAGTCATGAAACGATGCCACTTACTTTTGATTTTGTTAACAGAGTTCAAATCATCACATTTAATGCTGATAAAGATTTTTAAAATGCAAAGAGTTTTAAAACAATAACAAAAGAAAAAAGACAATGAAATTGATTGCAAACTCTATTTAAATGTATATATTCTTTTTACACAGGAAGTTTTAAAAAAAAATGCAATTCCACATAGTGGCACTATATTTCTGCACGAAATATATATTTATATTGGTATTTCTATTTGGAGTTTACTTTGAATTAAATTTCATATTTCGTACTAGTCTGTCAGTATTAGCTAAATTTCCTTGATTTGGGGTATTTAATATCATGGTATTGTTTTTTCGGATATGATACCGCATCACGTGACGAACTAACCAATCATATATAGATAAAAGAGTGACACATCTATAGATTTATTAAATGATACTACTATTTCTAATATTTTATCATCCGTTTTCTGCTAGAAAAGGTAATCTTGGGTTGTTGTTTTTTTTTTTTTGGCATCTTGAATTTCAAATTTCTAAGTTAAATTATGTGTAAATTTAAGAATTGAATTCGAAGTTAATTCAACATTTTTTTAGATGTAAGAAAATTTGGTCATTTCTAGGAAAACAATCGGTTGTGATTGATTTTATTTAAAAATATAAATTACAAAATATTGATATATCTTTAATGTATTTATTATTATTTATTTTTAATGTATGAAACTATTATGTTGACATCGGTTAGAGAGAGAAAAAAATCTTATGTTAAAATTCCAATATGATATTAGGAAACCAGACACAGCATAAATAAGTTCGGAAAAATTTGTCTATTTGTTTTGCACAAGGGATGCTGTTTTCGAAGTCACAGAAGAAATGTCGCGATAACGTGATCAGAAATTGACGATTAGTTGTCTTGCATTCGCTGCGTAATTTAGTTGTCATAATTTGATCTCGGCAAAAGGACCTCAGATGTCTTTCCATTTAAATAACCATGTCTTCCGACATCTTTTGTCAGCCTACCGGATTCCACAATTAACACAGTCAGGATAAGGAAACTGTGAATTAGCGGATTTTATACGAGATTTAACATCTCCCTCGCGAAGATTAATTCTATCCATTTTCAAATTTCGCCTAATCAAAGATAGCTTTGGCAGCGTCTTGACTATTGGCTGATTGCTATTTGTTACCTCCTCTCGCCAGCTTTAGCAATGCAAAAATCTAATCACCGAACCAAAAACTGGAGAACAAAAATTCTCGTCATCTAGATTTGATTCAGATCTTAATATTGAATGTTTATAGATGATTTCTATGTTGATTTCAGATCCTAAATTTCAAATAAATAAAATGCAGTTCTCAGAGGGACAGGGAACCAGACCAACATCTTTCTTTATCGACGATATTCTACTTAACAAACCAAAACCAACATTCCGGGACTTGCCATCTCTACCCGTCAGACCGACAGTCACGGATTTTCCGGGTTATCCCTATTTTCCGGGTATCTTCTACCCACACCAAGTACTGCAACAGACGCAAAGCTTCTTACACAAGCACCCAGAGCACGGTCATCCATTTCTGATGCCAACTGTTGCTGGTGAGTAGTTTTAATTTTTCTCTTTTAGGTTGTGTTCGATTTGATTAAATTTCTTTATTTGGTATAAAAGAAACAAAATTCCTTTGATTAATGAAAAAATTAATTTATTCAGTACTTATTTCTCTCAATTAAACAAAATGTTAATTTCTATCAAATTTAGAAAATTTGAATTATTTGAAACAGAATACTCACATTTTGATTCTTCCTGATAAAATACATATATTGTAGAAATATCTGTAACATTTTAATTCTAATTTCTCTGATTATACCAAGATTTCTTTAATAATATGTTTTCATCCAGCAGCCTTTTTTTTAAACACTTAGTATTGAAATAAACTTAAAGAACTTTGTGATTTATCTGGTGTTACATACAAAATTTTGGACAAATTATTTCATTAAGTTATCTTTACTGAAATCTTCCCAAATTTTTGGATATATTTTAAGGACATACGCAACGTACCTTACCCACTGATAATTTTTCAAGATATTCTTAATGTAAAATTATGATGTCATGAGATGTTCGTAGAAAAAAAATCAGCATGCAATGCCAGGGGTTTTGAATAGATATCAAAAGATTAAAATTCTTGTATTATCTAAAGAAAAATATACAAAAAATTACTTAACATATACTCTAGATGTTTTTTCATACACATTTGCTTTAGAGGAGGTTTACAGCACCATATATAGACATTAAAAGATTAAGGCACAGGTCCGTCCAATATTGGAACTCTTCAACTCTAGGAAAAAAAGACAATTAAGTTCAAACTATGTTGCGTATGTCCTTAAACAAATAAAATATGAAATAAATAAGTACAAAAGACCTTAAATCAAATTCAGTTCTGAAAGTTATTCATATATGTTTTATAATTAAATTTCAATGAAACCAAATACAAATAAAACATTTGAAATTCCTAGCAATTTCCCTGCTCTGCGTTTTAGCTACTTATTTCAGTAGAAAAACGGAAGCAATCTTTTGAAAATACTTGATATATACTTAAACCGAATGACATAATTGTTAATAGGCAGATCAATGAATGAATCCTGTTGACCTAATTGTTTTAACAAACTAGGTTTTTTTTTCTCAAGAATCCCTCGAGAACAAAATGACCATGTCAGTTGAAACAATGAACAATTATAGTAAACTCAGGAAGTTGTCTAATAATTCAAAAATTGTCAACTATCCGTTACCCTAGTCAGCAGGAAATACATGTCAGCTTTCAATGTAGTGAAGACATATTTGGCCAGACTATAGAATCATGAATTTGATTTTTCCCCTGATACGAGGAAAATTGCCTACTGGAAGAAAATAACATTCAACTCTAAAAGAGAGCGAGAGAGAGAGAGAGAGAGAGTATTGAGTTAAGTGTTCAACAATCATTTTCTCTTTTCCTAAAAAAAAAAAAATTTTACTTCAATGTAAAATATTGAATGGTATTTATATTAGGAGATTTAAATTAAACAAACATGAATCCTTTAGACGTTTTATACTGCTGTTTTCAGATCACAAAAATTACGTCAAACTTGCATACAGAAGCATGCGTAATCTTTCCAGAATATGTGTGTTTTTTTTTTATACTGACGAAAGCAATCTGGAATCCCAGTTGTGTATTATTGAATGAAATGAAAAATAAATAACCATGGAAATTAAATAATTTATTTAGTTCTCCAATCGAAATACAGATTGACCAAATTTTGAAATACAATCACTCAAAAATTTCTGCTGTTAGTGTTTGAAAAATCTATTAAATTTACCCAAACAATTTTAATTTACATTTAAATTAAGTTCAAACATTCTGCCACACAACAAAGTTGGTATCTCTTGAAATTTGGTTGAAAGAAAAATAGGCTCAGGTGCATATATACCGGTATATCAATGTACAGAGAAATGAGCATAGTATTTAAAACATTCATTTTATAATTTATTTATTTATTTATTTTTGATTTTTGAATTGAGTTAATGCGTAATGCAATTAATGAAAAAAGAAATCCCCCACCAGGTTCTACATATTTTTTTTTTAAATACAGGAATTATTTTGGGTGTGCCAAAGCTCATTTCTTGTTGTTACTGCAAATAGCACAATTAATAGAGCCTAACTGAGCATTTAATTCTTTAAATGTGAAAATGTTTTAGAGAGATGTCTCTGGTTTCCTCATCCCTGCCAACAGGCCTCAAAATTTATGTTTTCGGTCGCAATTAGCACAAAATTCGTGATGCGGATTTGTGACAGGATATATAAACTCATATTATATGAAATAAAAATATAATCCCCTCGGATCTATTCTATTCTTTTAATCCATAAAATTACAAAAGGAAATACTCAAATGAACAGGACAAAAATATTTCCTTGCGACTTCCATAAACTGTACGATATACACGGTATCTGGTTATTTTTTGGAACCTGGTTTGGTCTCTGAAGCTGGTGTCCAAGTAACCACAAACAAAAATAACTATATTTTAAAAAAAGAAACAAAATCAATTAAAAAAAGCATGTTTTTCATATTTCAACAGAAAAATGCAGTCAGTTCTCTCTGCTCCTCTGTTTTTATATACTAGTATCTTTATATACAGTAATTTGATTATAGTTGCATTTTAGTGGAATATTACATGTACTAAGAGGCTTGATAACATTTATGCCAAGTTATTTCTTTTCACATGATCTTTAATAGACAGTTTTATGAATGTTGCAGAACATGCGGACTTCTTAATTATATTTTACCAGACAAGATTAAGTATGATTTATTAGTTGAGTATTAAATTATTATTTCAATTATGATAAATGAAATATGAGATTTACAGGCAATTTTTCTTTATGTACATAAGCATTTACGATTTGATATAGAGATTACCTCCCTTCCTTTGTACACCTCAAGATGCCGACGATTCACGGGAAAAAGGTTGAAGGGGGGGGGGGGGGTGTTAGGTCGTTGTTTGTAGTTGAAAATAGTGTTTGATTCTATACAACCATTTTGCAAAAAAAATATTTGAAACAATCACATAAAAAATGCCTGTTTTTCCACATAAAAGGAAAAAAATCATTATCGTCCGCATTTCGATCTTGAAATTTTTGTTGATATCGAGATCTTTAAAACGATGTAAAAACGCGACAAACTTTTTAAATAGACTTTTGTTAAAATTTGTATTGAAAGTGAACAATATTTTGCAGTAAGTAACAAATATAAGGAAATTTTATGTCTTCTAAAACAAAGTAATAATTAAGATATCCCCCCTCCCCGTCGCGAACAGATATAAAAAATGTATACAAATATACAGAAATATGTCTTTTAAACAAAGTTATTACAAAAATGAGATTCAGAACCGGTATCTATAAACAAATTTCACTACACCATTATGTAGTTTGAAGTTAAATCTAGATGATTATTCCTTAGAATTTTTCACATCGACGATCCACAAACGGAGTTATCTTTCTTTTCACATCTGAATTAATCACGCCGCTTTTGAAATTGGTTATCTTAAAGATGTAATAGAGTGGATATATTCGGAGGAGAGCGAAAACCTTGTTAATACAATTATCAAAGGTGATTATGTGATTACTGAAAAGGGTGTCTAGAATTACCTAATACGCTTTGAAAATGTGATACGGGTATTCGAAGCGTATCCCCGACAGATACGGTATCCAGTATAGTATATAAAAGGAGTTGATAACATGTTGCGCGAAGAGGAAAAATATCAGAGAGGTAAAACAAATGGCCCACGTGTTTTGGTCCGATCTCATGAACCAAATTGCTATTAAAAAGAATTTAAATTTAATATTGCACAATTATTGCAGCCATTTAGGACTGTATATAAGAGAAAGAGAGAGAGAGAGAGAGAGAGAGAGCCGACTGTCTTCTTATCATTAGCAAAAATTATCCAATAACCGGTTAAATTAAAATCAAAATGTTAGGTTTAAAGTCAAAATGACCGAGAAAAATTTTCCACTATATCAGGCGATATTGTCTTAGAGTTTAAAAAAAAAAATCAGATACTAGTAATCAAAAGTATGAGTTACTGACAAAGACTTTGAACACAATTCGTTTATTGTTTGCAATAATTACTAGTAAGTTTTTTCTCTGTTTATGTTCAAAATTTAAGTCCAAGTCCTGATAGGCTGTTGGTTGTCATAGTGGTTCGGAGATATGTTTTTACTTTCGCCGCAGCAGGGAAACCGATAAACCAAAACACTGACCGTAGGGGTAAAATTAAACTGTACAAACTATCAAAAGTCATTAAAGAACTTTGAATATCTTAAAAATGAAAATTGCGATAGAAAAAAAAATTTGGTCAGTAAAATTATTTTCTTAAAATGCTTGACAAAATTAAGTTTTATCATGTTAAAGATTATATATATTTTATACTGCATACAGATTTAATCCGGGAGCTTCGGGAAGCTTTGCGGCCCCCAGACCCCTCGCCGATATCATTTTCCCCTAGCTATGTCCCTGTAAATTTTGAAAAAAAATGTTGTGCAAGGCAGTCTGGCGCAATTTTTTGACAGTTTATTTTGATTTACCATGTGTTTAGATACTCTGAATTCATCAATTAATTCTTCCTTAATTTTGGAATCATATTTCCTTATTAGTCATTTATAGAATTAGAATTTTTTAAATAAATGGATAATGTAATATTAATATTGATGCGTAATAATGGAATAGAAACATCATTGAATTTTTTTTAAATTAAATCTCCAGCTGTTTTAACAGCAGATGCCAATGTCCCGACATTTCAAACATAATTTTCCCCGTTATTGAATAATAAAATTAGGACGAATATATTTATACAAAGTAATGTCACATGTTAAATATTATCATAAATATTAAGTGTTTGAAATATATGCACTTTATTATTAACTTAATAGTCATGTATTTAGTTTGCAAGTTTAAAAAAAATAAAAATGAAGTGGCATTTGTCTTTTTCTACTCCAATACAGAGGCAAACAGGATATTGTATACTTACATTATCATTGCCGTAGGGATGCAAACTTGTCAATTTATGTGTGGAAATAAATATGATTACAAGTAAATAATTGAATTGAAAGAGAATTTCTTTGTAATTTGTTATCAGCTTGTCATTTTCTTCTTATTTAATGAAGAATCGTGAAATTAACCCAAAAAGTAAGACCACAAAAAAAAAAAAAAAAAAAAAAAAAAAAAAAAAAAAAAAGCTTGGGATCTTACTTAACAAAATTCGAGAAGAACTGCTCTAAAATATAATGATTTTAAATAAGATAAGAGATATAAGTATCTGTCTGATATGTCAATCGAGTATCAAATCTTGATTATTTTGGCTAACACCATTTCCCTGTATCTTTAAAGGTTTTCCGATAGCACCCATATACCAACATGACAGTCCCGGCAAGCACTGCAGACGACGAAAGGCAAGAACAGTTTTCAGTGACCAGCAACTAAATGGTTTGGAGAAAAGATTTGAAGCCCAGAGGTATCTTTCTACGCCCGAGAGAGTGGAATTGGCCAATCAACTTAGTTTATCCGAAACACAGGTTCGTATTGAAGTCTAAAATTGGAATTTGCATGCATGTAGGATAAATATGTTTTGCAAATTACATGCTAAAAAGCGTTGCAAAAACATACATCATTTTAATTTCCTACATATGCTTTAAAACTTCCATAACTAAAAAAGTCCTTGTTTTTCTTTAGTTAACAATAGTTCTCTATGGTAAAGTATTGACAACTATAGAACATACTCTAGTATTTAAATTTGCTGCGATTGCTTTGGAAACTTGAACGGAAATAATTCGTCTCAATCTTCATAATGTGACTTACTGGAAACAATGTTTTGATATACAGGTAATATTGTTCTTTAAAAAAAAAGAAAAAAGAAAAAAACTGATATAAAATAAAATATCTAGAATATTATACTAAAGAAACATTGCTTTTCTGTAGAGAAAAACTAAGGAATTTTCATTTACTTTGGGAAAGTCGAAAACTTTGATATATCATTTTTTGATAGAGCGCTTTTATGGCAATACGGCTTGATGATATGCATGCATTAGCTATCTGGATTGGTATATTTCATATTAAAACCTACCTTTTTTAATTAAAGAATGATATTCTAATTTCCGTAGTTTTTTTTTTTAAAGGAGAAAAAACCTTGATAAATAAAAAAAGTGACAAATTGTTTGTGATATGCAAAAAAAAAAAAAAAAAAAAAAAAAAAAAAAAAAAAATCCGAAATTAATATCCTATATTTTGGTATAAGCTGTTATCCACTGTATTGTTTAAAATTGTACATTCACGCATTTTTCTTCATTTTTTAACCAACAAAAGAGGGAACCATTTCAAATAACGATTAATTATAAGAGCATTTCCAGAGGATTATGAGCAAAAATGTTACGGAGAGTAGCAATGCTGTCACGAACTGTCTTCTCAGAAGTTTTTTAATTTATCATCACCTCGATAATGCGATGACAGAATTCAAATTATTTACTGTTACTTTGCATTATTTATATAAAAATATATGGGAATTATTGCGTTATTATTGAAGTATTATGATGAAACTTGATATTATAATTAACAGATATTGCTTCACAGATATGTGATTTACAAGGATTTACATGTAAGATCATTATGTTTTCATAAGCCTTAATATGATATATGACGTTATATATATATATATATATATATATATATATATATATATATATATATATATATATATATATATATATATATATATATATATATGCAGACCTTTTACCAGTGAAAAAAATATATGACGTTTAATGATCAATCAAAACAAGATCGATAAAACTTCTTGCATCATCTTGAAATACAGCAAAATCTTGTTTATAGAATATACATGTAAGTTACATTTATGGGAAAGAATAATATAAGACATATTTCTTTTTATTTTGTAGGTGAAAACATGGTTTCAAAACAGACGAATGAAACATAAAAAGCTACAGAAGAAACCTAACGAAAATGGCGAAGATACGAATGCGGATGACTCGAAAGAAATAGGATCTGATGATGAAGAGTCACGTGACAGTTTTACTTCCAGTAATGTTTCAGACAAAGCACAGTGTTCCATAGCAAGGGATTCAGAAAACAAACACTCGACGCCCTCCATCTACAAACCTTACCAGCTTGATTCAGAAGATACACACGAAGATGAAATTGACGTTGTAGACAGTGAAAGCGAGGGAGGAATTTGAAATTAACGTGTTTGTCAAAATGAACCTTCGTGTCATTTTTATTATGTTAAACTGGTGCTGAAATTTTTTGTCACACATTAAACATACCGTACAGTATACATTTAACATACAAACTACCCAATCGATACCACTGAATATAATTCCATAAATTCTAGTTATCTGCAATATCTTGTAACTATCTTGAATGGAGGATCAGGAATTTGAATTTATAAAGTTAAGCTTAGTCCATTTCCTGAATTTAGCTTAATAATCTCTTAATGTAGCACAATATACTTCTAATTCTTAATGTAGTGCTGATCCCAACGCCATAAATCTGAGAGAATTCTCAAAATTTTCTCAACTCTTGAGAATAACTCAGCAAAGAATATTCCTTAAAGTCACCATAAGACGACTTGAAAACTTTTGGTTTATGGCTGCGGGGCCTGGTTTTGAAATCCAAGTCGATGGAAAAGAAAATAGGGTAAACTATTCTTTTCTTGTGTAACTAGTCTGTAGTTGTTTCTCAGTGCTTGTATTTTATTATTATTATTATTTTTTATAAATTATTCAAAGGATTTTTTGCATTGAATCTTTTACGTGCAAGTTCCTTTTAATATAACGAGAACCTTTTTTTATGACACAATGGCCAAATATTTCTAATTTTGTTGCTTTTACGACTTGTGCATTTCGCACTTTCAATTTATGTTTTGTTGTCCATGTTTCGTAGAATTCTCATGTTTATATTTTTAAACATATATTACAAGATGCATTGCTATTTTACATGTAATGAATTTTTATAATGAATGTTTATGATTAAAGCTGTTTAAAGGATGTTTCAGTGTGCATGAAATTGATCTAAAAGGCCTCTGTACATTACTCAGTTTTTCTCTTATAATTTTATGATGAAATCCTTCAATATATTAATGATAATAAAGATAAATAATTTGATTGCGTTTTTTGGGCTTTTTTTCTCTCTCTGAAATAAATCATAATTAAATAAAAAACGATTTAAAAAAATAAATGAATAAAATTTTTGGTGACAATGCTCTTTTAAAAATCTTTTAATTTATAAAGTTACCATTTATATCAACATGATACATACAGTAGTAGGATGCACTTTATTGATAATGTAAAAGAAACTTCAGAGTTCGTTTTGAAACGAAATGAATCTACAGTTGTAGACCTGTATCTTTTTTAGCCAATCCCTGTGTTTAAGAAGTCATTCTCCCAAAGAAAGAGGGTTGGTTCTGCTCCTCATTGACCCACCACCAAAACATTAGTTATCTAACATATGGCGAACATTCACAGATGAAATTGAAAAGATGACCCCATTAGGACTTCTTAAGGTCAATGACCAGATTTAACAAGCTTAAAAAAAGGAATTAATGCTTTCCTAAAGATTGGAAATGTAATGAGAACATATTTCATTCGGACCCATTAAAAGTGTCGGGAAGCTTTCACTAACGCAATGGACATCTCGGTTGTCGCCTGTTATATATGATATAATTTGGTCACGTGACCGACACCTAACCTGTAAGAAAACCGATACCCTTGTGAAAGCTTAATAATTATGTATGAACAAATTTGTGTTTAAGTATCTAATTAAGTTGTACTCTTCAGAAGACTTAAGTCCACCTCCTTCCGCTTGTTTCAATATTGACAACACGTTACTTCTAATGAATCACTTTGGTTCACTCTCTTTTGTCCCTGTAGAAGCAACAGGTTTAATCCTTTAGAACCACAAGGCCAACTTCCATTGTCCACATAGCAACTTTTTCCAGTACAACGAGTTAATGGAACGAGGCATGTGACAACAGAGTGGCGGGAAACCTTTGTGATAGCATAATATTGTGTTTCCAAACGAGCTAATTGCCAGTCGGGTTTCTATAGCGGGACTGGCCTGTTTGTTTGACTAGGCTTCCGGCAATCTACATGACAAAATAACATCTACAAATATTGAAGCACTTGGGCATTACGAAATTAAACATTTACTTGGGTACCAACGGAGGCACAGGAAAGGTGTTGTTTGCATATGTTAACATGTTGCATTTGGCTGGTTTTAAATGTATCATTTCTATACAATATTTGCAATAAATCATGCTTTTTATAATTTAAAAGCTAGATAATTAATAGGACATTAAGTAATAATTTTGATTCTAAAAACCAACTTTAACTCACATAATGGCTTTTTTTTTTAAATATTACGAAGTCAACATTATATGGTACAAACAGCTGTAAAGAAAATCACATTCCTTTCAACTAACGACTGTCTTAGAAATGATCATTTAAAGTTTGTTTATAAAAGATGTTTACATGTTTAGGAAAATTATGTCAAAATTTTATCTAATGCATGTATTGAATCACGCAATCACAATACATTGTTTATGTTATATTATAAAACATCTCCTTAGAAATCTAGTCGTATAAATAGTGAAAAAAAAAAAGATTTTATTCAAAATTAATAAATCATTTTATTATATGATAGGTATGAAATATTTAAACTTGATTTAAAAATTATAATAAGCTTCGAATAAATTTTTGTTAAGCAAGAAAATTCATATTGAAATGTAGCATAAATCCACATTTAAGAGGAATTAGCTCTATTTGTTCTAAAGCATTTTAACTCTGGCATAAGTATTTATTTGAAGGAAAAAAATCATGAATTTTAAGAAATAATTTAAGACTATTAATGGAAAATAATTTCAAAATAAGAGCTTCATCAAATGTAAGCATGCATGGTTAGCTTAATTAATATCGTTCTCCCCTTTTTTCTCTCCATTTCTTGGAAGAGATGTTAAAACATGTCGACAGTTAGCCACTTTATTTGTCTGGAAAAGTGTACAAATAGTCGATAATCTGTAATTCAACACGATACAGGAAGCTTAAAATTTACTCTACCTTGACACAAACACACCATTTAAGTGTTACAAAACAAAACTGTATAACGAGAAAGAAAGTCAACACCGCCTTCTTAATCAAAACAATTAAGCAAAATTGAAATCAGATGTGTTTCGAAAGGGGATTTTGGATGCCTTTATTCAATACAAACATGAATAAACAAACAATTTTACAGAATTTGAGTAGCAAGCGTTGTAAGGATTCTTGAACAGGAAAAGCAACCGTCATTGGAACTAAGCTCTGATTGACATTGCATAACATTCTCATAAAAGCTACTTTAAAACATCCTAAAAGTTTAAGTGCTTTGGAAGTTATATTCAATTGAAAACTGAAACATGGAAATTGAAAATAGCGGAATTTATTATATAAAATAAGGATTTGAAATTAAAAGCAGTAAAATTCATAGCTCAATTATAATGATGTTGAACTTGTAAATTAAAAGCTGAGAGAGAGAGAGAGAGAGAGAGAGAGAGAGAGAGAGAGAGAGAGAGAGAGAGAGAGGAATTTGATGCAGAAAACCTAACAAATGTACAGACATAGAAAGGAAGAAAGAATAATTTACTTCACATCTGCATTATCATTTTTGTTTGGATTGTAAAATTATTTTGAAAAACGTAATACTGGTATCAGTTCAGCGTTATTTTCTTTGTTATTTTTCAAATGATAGTACACTGAGATATTTTTTAAACCAATGTAAAATAATGACCACTGACAGCAAAGTCGCTCTTTTAACATAAAAAATCTTCAGGTTATTTTTGCCAAACATCAGAAAAAAATAGCAGAATAATAAACAAGTTAAAGACATACAGACTTAGTTGAAAACTGAAGACTTGGAATTTATCCTTATATTTTTCTCTCTCTCTCTCAAATCTATGTTTTAAAAGAAAATAAAACAAAAACTGAAGTGTATTTGAAATTCAAAAATATTAAAATATAGAGGAGAAAAGTTTACAAACGTATTCTCAAGAATAACATAAATCACTTCATTTTCCGTTTGCCCGATCATGACAAGGAGCACATTGTGGGTGTGACTGGTCGACAGGGGAAGCTTACTCCTCCATGGTACCTGATCCTACCTTTGATGTTTTTAGAGGTCTGTGTTTGCTCTACTCCCATTTTGTATTGTTCCAATGGACTTTTGAGCCTGATTACTTTTCGTTATCTTCACATTTCATTTAAGTATAAAAGTTAAGTGCTTCTGAAGCATACTTCAGATCACTCTAATTTAGATGCGCTAGACTCACTTATATCATTAAACTCTCAAGAACTTAATTTCAAATATACAACCTACTTAACAACCAAATAAAGTTCTAACAATGGAGATTAACAAGTTTTTAATTTAAAGTGATTTTTCCGCAACACATTTAGGTAATCGTCTTAGGAATTCTAGATCTATTACCCCACAAGTATGCATTAGGTTGAAGTCAAAATAATGCATTCATTTTGATATATAAGAAACTTTAAGAGGATGTATATTAAGAGGCCCATAAAGGTAGCCTTTTTCTAATAAAAGAACATATATTGATGGATTGCCATTGCAAGAATTTGAAAAAAAATGTACATGTATATCTAAAACTCGATCTCTTGGTTACTAGGCCAGTAGATATAATCAAACAAAAGAAATTGAAAGACGAAACTTTATTTATTTTATCTAAACGAATTTAAACTCAAAATACCATTGCTGTTTCAACGAATACAACGATGATGCTAAATGTTTTGATTTATATTCTGTGACATGTACATTCATTGCTTAAAAGAGGCAAGTCATTTGTGAAATTAGGGAAACGTAACAGTGTCAGGAACATTATATTAACACATAGATTCATTAACACATGAATTTACTTATACTACTTGTTTTTTTTTTCTCAATAAATACTATGTCTTTTATTTCTATTGAAGAATTCCTTTTAATTGTATTCAAGTTATAGTAGTTTTATATGTAAAACACTTGAAGACAGTACATTGCACTTTTTTGAAATATTATAAAGTGAAAAAGAGCAATCTTTTGAATTTTTTTATTGCCAAAAATTGCATAAAACTGAGACAAATAATGAAAGAGGTGTATATAACGAACAGGGATCGATCTAAAACAACCCCTACAAACAACCAAATCTGTGAAGAGGGCATAAAACATGGACCCCCTGAAATT